TTTTGGGTCTTTTTGCAAGGGTGCACCCTTTAGTCATTTCGTTCGTAACTCCGGGGTGATAACGCCGATATCGAGCAGCAACCTGCAAGCGCCTAGCGGAAAAAACTGGGGCGTATTTTTTGTTATGATTTCCATGGAATTTTTCCAGGAATTTTCTAAACATTTTGGGGATTTTTGACGGGGTGGTTTTTTTAAGTACTGAACCATGAATTCACGTTTTTGATGCAGGGCTAAAGTTGGTGAGAACCTTCATATCATCTTTCACCAGCGTTATTCCCAAGGCAAATGCTGCCATATAGCTCGACGATCTAACTCATCGGAGTTTACTGAGCATCCACTTTTATCACCTGTATGCCCGAGCCTATATGTTGCCTCACGGAGAGGTGCCGTGCCGCAATCGTATCTCAAACCGCAAAACGGTAATAATTATGCTTTTGACTGCGTTTGTTCGCAACGTCAGCCTGTGGTGAATGATTGCATGGTGTAGAATGACTGGGGCATACTGAACATACTTGGACATACTGAAGTCTCCTCTTGAATCTGCTTATCTGCTTATTCCTGTGGCCGTGCAATAGACCTTCAACATATTGACGTAATGCAGTGTTTACCGCGGTGCATTGTGGGTGAAAGGGGGGTGTTGCAGGAACGTGCTATATGTGTTTCGGATGATAATCGGGAATTTTTTTCTTTTCTTTTTTTTTCGTGTCAGGTCGATACACACGCCATATACGTTACACATAATGTGTCACGTTGACACGTTCCTGCAACATCCCCACCTTTCACCCACAATACACCACGATAAACACTGCATTACGTCATTATGTTGTAGGTCTATTAAGATTGATGTTGTTGTTGTTGTTGTTGTTGTTGTTGTTGTTTTAATGGTGCTTTCAGCAACTCAGACTATTTGCATCAATAACTATACGCTTATTCATACACTTTATAATCAGCATCACATTACGGAGTTTGGAAGAAGGTCGAGTTTTTTTAGGCAGGAGGAAACCGGAGTATCGGGAGAAAACCAGCGAAAGCGATTATGGACTGGAAACCAAATGCACGTAAAGCCTGGGCCAATCTGGGACTCGAACCCAGGCCTCATTGGTGCAAAGCGTTCCCTTTTGTGAGGGATTACGCCCAAAAGCCCACCAACTTCTCAACAGATTAAGGCAACCGCAAAGTTAATGAGCTTGGCTTCACGGGAGACCTCGATGCATTTTCACTGTGTTTTTACTTTAATTACCCCAGCGTGTCCTCACCGGGCCTGCAGGGGATTATTTTCACCAGGTAATCCGCTCTGACATCGCCGTAAAAAAATGTTTCATGGTAAATTAATTGCAAATTATATATAACTCCGAATCCACAGCGTTGAGATTCATAGTGGGGTAACACCCTTCGTAAATGATTATCTTCACGGTGGATCATTCTGCGTAAAATAAATCATGGCTGAAAACGGAATTACTGTTGAGCAACACTGAGAAAACTCTATCCCCAAAAATCTTTTATGCCGTATACGGTGCAGTGAACATATTGAAACTGTACAGTCAGTATCACATTCGTCCACTCAAATTACAACTTTCACATATATCTTACCAAATTTCGAACAATTTTGCTCCAAATGAATACCTCACGACATGAAAGAGCAGTGCTAAAATTTTTGAAAATCCCTTGATGATAAAAGCGCACGAATAGGCAAGGGGCAATCAAGGGCGTCGTTGTGAAGTAAGGCACCCTCACTCCTTGGCGCACGAAGTTCTCGGAACAGAAGTTCAGTTCAATTTGATTTGATTTTTCACAACGTCATGGATAAAACGTAAAATTGGATTTCCTATCATAAAAGTGTTTCAAAAGACAAGAAATTATAACGCTCCTAAAAATACATGTATATTTTAAATAATAAATGAAACCCAATAAAAATGAATACCATTTTACTTTATTCACAGGAAGGGGAGGTGTCCACCACAGTTTGTATTGTGTATATTGGCGATGACAAAAGACATTGGCTGGAATCTCATAGAATTGTACATTTGGGTTTCATTCAGTATTTGTGCTAGATTTTGACATCCTTACAATTTTCTTAATCTTCAGTGTATGTTTTCTTAAAATTTACATTATGGAAAAACAGACAGAAAAAATTTCTGTTCAGCCAGGAACATGATTTGACAGGAAAGTACTTTGAAAACAATTTTAAAATCAATTTGGAGAGTTTAGTCCGTTTTTCAGCAATATATTCTTCATGTGTGTGAAGTTGGTTTTCATTTAGGTGTTCAAATAATGATAAAGGTCATTGGAGTCACTTGTAAGATCAATAGGATCGCCAGTTTGGTGGAGTACGAGACAATTACCGAATACGATCGTGTATCAACTATCACAGTTTGCATCATTGACCACCCGTCAAAAACAGCTCTTCCTGTACCCGTTTTAAAAGCTGAAATCAGCTAAGCAACATCAAGGAATTTAGGACAGAAACAGCATTTTTTAACTGCTAATCAATTGGCTTTATTTTTAAAACTTATCTTGTGTAAAAGTTTTTAATTATATGGTTTGTGAAATAATAAGCATTCTATTTATAATATCTGTCAAAATGCAATAATTTTGCAGCATTCAGCGACTTCGTTGAGGACATACCAGTGCCTGGTTTTCTATTCAAAAACCTCACAGAGTGAAGAAATCAAACACAATGGAAGACTTCAGTGATGGTAAGTACCAGCAGATTATTAGAAAAATGTGAAGCATAATTTTTTTTCAGTTACACAAAACAAAATAAAATGAACAGTATAGCAAGATGGTAGTCATAGATGAAGCCACATTTTTAAAGTCAATACTTTTGCCTTGAAAGAAAAATATTTATTGAGTGTTTAAGTATTCAATAAACTGTACCTTGATCACTGCTTGTATAAGTAAGATACTTGTGTGGGATAAATGGAATATACATGCCTCAAGACAGAAATAAATAATATAATCCTTGGCAACATTCATGATAACAACATCAATAACAAATGCTTAAGTCAAGTATTTTGCAACTTTGTAGAGGACGACGACTTTGGGCAGAAGTTACCACCTCTGCACATCTACATAAAAAGAGTTTTGGACAAGTACCCGGAAGGCGGTCAGATTTTAAAGGTAAATTCTCTGTTAAAGATAAATGGGACCGTTTAAACTTTCCACAAGATTGTAGAAGGTTTTTTATTTGATTAAATTATTTTGTGTTACTGGAAAGCACCCTGAACATCTATGATGGATTTTGCGCTATATATGAATATTTAATATTATTACCGTTATTATAAACTGGACACAAGTCATAATGAAAAACATAAACACTCTGTTCAAGTTTGAGAAAGCCCTGATTTGTACATAATTACATGTTTATTGCATTTAGTACGTTTTATTTTGATTAATGTAATTTACATGGAGACCTAAAGTAAAACTTGTTTTATAAATCATGCTGCATTGCGGCTAAAATGTCTTAACTTCCTAATGCATTGTTTTATATTTTAGGAGCTGGTGCAGAACGCTGATGATGCTGAGGCAAAGAATGTGATTTTCCTTTATGACAAATCGCGACATCCTGATTGTCAACTGTGGTCTGACACATTGCGGGACTTCCAAGGACCAGCTCTCTACGCTTACAATGACGCAACATTTCAGAAGGAAGACTGGAAGAACATCCAGCACCCCGAGCAGAGTGGCAAGCTGGAAGACCTGACGAAAGTGGGCAGGTTCGGTCTCGGCTTCATTTCTGTTTATCATCTCACAGGTGAGTTGTACACGTTCTAAGTAACTCCAGTCTTATAACTTCTACTTTGCTTTCTTTTAATCTCCTTACAGCAGGTGTTGAGGTTTTGTTTCATTTTTTCCACAGACATGCCCTCTGTCATCAGTGGAAAGCAGCTCGGCTTCTTGGACCCACTAGAAAAGCATTTTATTTACGATCCTCACACCAACACAAGATATATGGGCAGACGAGGTAAGAAGTGGAAAATGTCAGCTGACCTTTTGGCTAAGTTTCCAGACCAGTTTTCGCCCTACCTGATCGACTTGTTCCACTGCAGCAAGACAAACTTTCACAATGGTAACCTAGACGGTACTATTTTCCGATTTCCACTGCGCACAAGTGCGTCCTTGATCAGCAAGTCTGTCTTTGCCGATCAACGTCGAGTGTATGAACTTTTGGCGTCATTTCAAGCAGATGCGGAAATCTCTTTGCTGTTTCTCAAGCATGTAGAGTCCATTTCTATATACGAAAGAGATAGTTACTTAGAGTGTCCGCGGCTTACCTGCAAAGTGCAGATCAGTCAAAGTGATCGTCAAAAAATTCAGTCGAGCAAGGCAACATTTCTTGGTCAGATTCTGTCGAGACAAGACATCCAAACAGAGAGTTGTGTGCGAATAGAAAAGCAAGGTGGCCAGCAAGCTATTGTAAAAACCAGTGAATACATTACTATTAACATCTTAAAGAATAGAAGACCATCCAGCCATATGCAGGCACTTATCAACGATGAAGACTTAAAGTTGCTACCTTGGATGGGAATGTCCTTCCAGATCAGTGCAGCAGGATTAGCTGCAGAGCAGCAAACTGGCCGTGTATTCTGCTTCCTGCCATTACCAGAAAGCGAAACTACTGGTTTACCAGTACACATACATGGCTACTTTGGTCTGGGAGACAACCGCCGCAGTATCAAGTGGCCAGATCGGGAGTCTCAGCATGACAACAAGGCTCTGTGGAACAAGCTTCTCTTGGAGGAAGTTTTTCCCGAGCTCTATGCAAAGGTAGTCTTGGCTGCTGTCCGTAAAAGTAAGGATCCTGGAAATCCCATCAAGCCAGTAGATGTGTACAGAGGATGGCCTTCTATTGGACGTGTTAATGGAGCATGGTTAGCTGGGGTCAAGAAATTCCTCCAGTTAATGGCAAATGAGGACATTTTCTACACGGAATACAACGGCGGCTCCTGGATGAAACCAAGCACTAACATCTATGTTGATCCAGAGGGAAGTACCTTAATTTCAAAGGTGCTGAGATACAAGGGCTGTCCCGTGGCACAGCCTCCAGAGCATGTCCTTGAATCCCTGGAGTGGGCAGGTGCACATTACAAAAAGGTAACGCCAGCAGTTGTAAGAAATGCGATCAGAGGGGATTCTCTGCAGTTCCTGTCACGTAATGAGAAGATGCAGCTTCTAAAATACGTGTCCTCTGATGGCATTTCAGATCTGGGGAACTTGTGTCTTCTTCCGCTTCAAAGTGGTGAATTCATTGCGTTTCATCACAATGCTCAGAGGGTGTACATAGCGACAAATGAGAATCCAATTTCTCTCATCCCAAATGGAGGATCCAGATTTGCTGCGAGTGATCTGCCGTCAGAGTTGACAATTTCTGGTGTGGGGACATGCACTCAGTTGGAGTATCTCACTATTCATGATGTTGCGCCACTACTGAAGGAAATACTTCCAGTCACTTGGAGAGCAGGATCAGATGATACTTTAATTTGGACGCCAGGGATCGACCAACAGCCCAAGGAAGAATGGTTGAAGGAGTTATGGAACTGGATGGCTAAAACATACCCGACCTCAGACATCGAGGTGTTCAAAGGTATTCCTCTCATCCCAGTACCACACAATCGATTGGCAAGACTGCAGAAGGGTAGGCTGATAAGTCGCGAAAAGAGACAAAGTTATCCATGTTTTTCATTGAAATGCCTGTCGGATAACATCTGTTCATTTCTCGAGTCTGCTGGGGCAGTTGTTCTACGACAGGATGTCCCAAAATACATATCTTGCCACCCACATATAGACAGATTTATCAGTCCTCCAACAGCTGCAGGCGTGTTGACGATTTTAGAAATATGCAGTCGCAAGATGAATTTGGTGAGATGTATCGAAAGGTCAGCTACAGGAACAAAAGACGAGCTACGTACTCTGTTCGCACAACTCCAGCCATCGACAAGTCAACAGAGTGACATTTTGAAAGAGCTTCCCATCTTCCTCGGAAGTGATGGCCAATACGTCTCAGTTAGGATGTGCGCAACTGCTGTGCCAAGTGACTATTTTGGGTTACCGGTGAAGACCTTGAGATATCGGTGTCTGGTTCTAAGATCTGACGAGTCAGACAGCCTACTTTCGCGGCTTGGAGTTTGCAGTCAGTCTCTTGAAGACATTCTGCAAAGTAGTGTCCTCCCTGCAGTGCAAGATGAATTCTACAGTGTCAGTGATTCACTCAGGATCATGGCGTGGGTATTGGAACGTCCCCAGTTTGACAACTTGGTGACAGACGTGGCATTTGTACCATCTGTGGTATTTAAAGCAAGGCCAAATGAGCTATTTGAGCCCACAAGAACCCTTCAGGTGATATTTAGAGGCGAGAGTGTATTTCCAACGGGAAGGTATTCCGAAGGAAGATTGCTGAACAACTTGAAACGGGTTGGACTAAAGAATGAGGCTGACATTACACCAGATGACGTTTTAAGGTGTGCAACGGATATTTCTCAAACCCAAGGAAGAGGCCAGGCTGATATCGAAAGAGGATCGGTCCTCTTAGAACATATCAAGCGAAACGTGCATATCTTACGACGGACGGTCACGAAAAATAGGATTTGTAAAGCACTTTATAAGTTCCTTGAAGACTTGTTTTGGGTTCCCTGCGAAACTTCACCACCAGCGAACTACCCTTCATCTGCTGGTTGGAAGGGGAATTCCAACACACTGTACACTCCAAGACAAGTAGGTCTTATTGAGACTGCTTTAGTACAAGGCTCGGTCCTACCTCTTGTCAATTTAGGAGACACCGGAGTTGAACTGCGAAATGTCTTTGGATGGAATAAGGAACTCGATCCCAGCAATTACCAGCACCTTGAGCGAGTCATTCTTCATCTCCGAAATGCTTCCACAAAATTCCAAGTCGGTCATGAAAGTGTTTTTGTTTTGTCCAAAACGATGTCTGAGATATACTTGTTCCTACAGAAAGCAGCAATTGCACAGTTGAGACATCTCTTTGATAGCCACTTAGCTATAGCTTATCCATGGGTCTGGCATGGGTCCGGTTTCACTACACCCGACAAAATGGCCTTAAGCCACGGAACACTTGGTGTTACTTTGACCCCATATCTCCGAGTTGTTCCTGAGGATTTCCTCAAATTCAGAGATTTCCTCATCGCCATGGGGGTCCAAGAATCCTTTCAAGAGAGTGCCCTTTGTGAAGTGCTTCAAAATATTCAGCAGAAACATCAAGGTACATTGGTCTCCGATGAACAGGAATACAAGACAGACTTGAATATTGTCTGTAACATTTTGAAGCACATAGTAAGCCAAGACAAGTGTCACGTTGACAGATCATCAATTCTAGTTCCTTGCAGAGAACCTAGTGGATGGGGAAGACGTTTACACATGGCAAATTCTTCTGAGTGTCTATACGTGGACGAGGAGCGACTTGCGAGACAGTTATTCAGAGAAGGAGCTCAAGATCTAGACAAGCAAATAATTCACGAATTAGTACCGAATTGGATTGCTCATAAACTGGAACTGCAACCACTGAGTCACGTGATTGCTCCTGTTGAAGCAGTGGAGTATGGGTATGAGGTTACCGGTCCACACGAGACAACTGTTAATGCCATCAAGCGCAATCTTGAGATGTACAAGGAAGGACCAGGCATCTTCATTGAGATGATTCAGAATGCTGATGATGCTGGAGCTACCGAGGTTAAATTTCTTCTTGACTGGCGTAGAAATGAGCAAACAGCTCACGACCTGTTAGGTGAGGGCATGAAAGCATGTCACGGCCCAGCTGTGTGGGCTTACAACGATGCCTGTTTTTCAAAAGATGATATAACAAACATCTGCAATATTGCTGCTCAGAGCAAGAAGTATCAGCTGGACAAAGTTGGGCGGTTTGGATTGGGGTTCACATCAGTGTATCACTTAACCGATGTTCCAAGTGTTGTCAGCGGCCCTTACGTACTTATTTGTGATCCAAGAACAATACATCTTGGTTCTCGAGTTCAACCCAATCAACCCGGTATAAAGCTTGATCTGACAAATGAACGCCACAAACAGACACTTAGAAGCTACCCAAACCAGTTCCAGCCATACAATGACATCTTCGGTTGTAAGCTGTTGGAGACAGCAAAATTTGACCACACACTCTTTAGGCTACCACTGCGCACAAAGGCAGAAGCTGACGGCCAGCAGCTAAATCAGATTTCTGATTCCGTCTGTGACTCGAGGAACAGCATTGAACCTTTACTAGCATCTTTGCAGAAATCGGCATCTACTCTGCTTCTCTTTACTCAAAATGTGATCCATGTTAGTGTGCATGAGCTTCAGTCTGAAAATGTGAATGATGTGAAAACCTTGATGTCTGTCAATATTTCAAGTTTTCATCAGTTGCCAAGGTCGATTTCGAGCCAAACAGGCAACTTAGCACCTGAACGTAGTATTCTGAAAGCAACAGCAGCATGTATGAAAGGCGATGACCCGAGACAGCCTCTTCCAGAAACAACACAGATAGTAAATGTTGCTCTTGAAACTTTGGCCTCCGGAAGAGGTGCAAAGAAGAAGCCAAAGAAGACAACTTGTCATTTCATCGTCAGCTCTTGCATGGTATCTGGAAAGTGTCTTCAGCTTGCTCACACCAAAGATGGCATTAAAGCTGGAGTTTTGCCATGTGGTGGAGTTGCTGCAAAATTAGTCTCAGGTGAGAAGGGACTGACCCCCGAAACCACTCACGGTAAGGCATTTAGCTTTCTTCCTCTTGATGTCTCCACAGGCCTAGGCTTTCATGTCAATGGCAATTTCTTGCTTCAACCTAACCGACGACAGCTGTGGAGTAAACCCTCCTCTGACACTGGGGAGTTCGAGAGCCGCTGGAATATTGGCTTCATGGAGTCAGTTCTCGTACAGGCTTTCATTAATCTTATGAAAGATCTTCAAGTGCTACAGGAACAGAGTATGGTTGATGCACGCAATTTCCAGTGTTTGTGGCCCAGACGGAATAAAACTGAGAGTGACTTCCATCCATTTGTTGATGCCTTCTACAAGATAGTCGGCAGTAGTTCTGATGCCCCAGCAGTGATCTTTAACCAAAGCAGATGGGTATCAGTACATGAATGCTTCTTCACAAATTGGAGTCCAAATGACCCGGAGGACTTGAAACGCAGCATCAAAACCTTGCTGAACAAAGATCAGTACCCCAAGCAGTGTGTGGAACTGGAAAAGGATGTGGTCAGTAGCATCAAACAAGCAGATGCAAACAAATTTTTCGATGGAAACACCTTCAGCATCGAGCGATTTCTGTCTGAGGTTTTTTTTTCGATGCTGAAAGATAAACCTGATGACATCGAATCTGTACACAGAAATAGAATTGTTATTCACACGTTGGACCTTCGTCTGGGAGAAAGAAAGGTAGGAGACTATGATGGATTGCTTAGTACAACTGAGTGCATTCCCTGTTCTCCAGAGGGTGAGGACTTGTTAAGTCCAAAGGATTTGGTAAATCCGACCACACCAGTTGGATCACTTTATAGTGAGACTGACTGTCGGTTTCCACATGGCGAGCTCTACCGTAAAGAAGAACGTCTTCTGTCTTTGTCTCAGCTGGGAATGGCTTCAGATGACCTACCTTGGGATGATATCTGTGAAAGGGCAGAGTCATTGGCAAAGGGTGAGAACGTTGACCAGCGATGTAAAACTCTACTCAAGCTGATGGATGAAAAGTTAAGGTCTCATGAGCCAACAGTCGATCAGAAAAGACGACTCCAAGAAGCAGCTTTCCTTCCTGTCATGAAGAAACCGGCAGAGTATCCCATTGACTGGTGTCAATGTGGCGATGACTATATGTCAGCGGAACAGCTTCATGTACCAGAACATAAGAACCTTCTTGGCTCTGTTCAACCCCTTTTGGACGAGAAAAAACTGGGGTCAGATGCTATGAGCCAGAATATCAAAGCCCTCCTTGGATTTACAGAAAAACGGGTTGATGTCGGCGATGCTATAGCACAGCTTGCTATTGTGATTAATCAAGCACATGAGGGGGTCCACCAAATATCGGGTATGGTTGGCAGCATATATGCATATCTGCAGAATAAACTCTGTGCACTCTCTCAAAGCGGTGATGTTACCGTCAAGCAAGGGCACTCTGCTCATGTTGAACAGCTTCGTTCACTGAAATTCGTCTTCTTTGATAGTAAATTCAAAGAATGTAAACAACTTGCATTTCAGTACCGAGGAAGAAGTGGGCCATATTTGTATGGAGTTCCCCATGGGCTTACTCAATTCAGCAACCTGTTGAGAATCTGTGGAGTAAGAGATAACTTTCATGTGGATGATTTTGTTCAAGCACTCCAACTACTGAAAGATACTTACGGTGAGAAACCTTTAAGTGAATTGGATGTAAAAACTGCGAAGTCAGTGTTGTCGGAAATTGTCTCCCTGATGGCAGAAGGTCACAACGGCAACTCTCAATCTAGTCTTCTGGAAAGCAGCTTACACAACCGATTAATCTTTGTTCCAGACAACCAAAGGATCCTGAGGTCTCTCCATGAGCTGATTTACAACGATATGGAGTGGGAAGGAGGTCTTTCAGAAGAGATTTACACGCATCCAGACATATCATACCGTGACGCCAAGGTTTTGGGTATCGTCACAAAGAGGCAAAAGTATATTGACAACTACTCGTCTTCCCAGGAATTTCAAATAGATTTTGGTCAAAGTGAAGAACTGACTGATCGTCTGAAAAGTATTCTTAGGGCATATCCAAATGTGTCTGATGTGTTCAAAGAGCTTCTTCAAAATGCCGATGATGCAGGAGCAACAGAAATCCATTTTGTGTATGATCCCCGATACCATGAAACAAAGAAGGTGGTTTGCGATTCTTGGTCTGCGGTAGGAAAAGTTCCATCACTTTGCGTTTACAATGACGTGCCGTTTACGGAAGCAGACATCAAAGGAATTCAGAAAGTAGGAGTAGGAGGGAAGAGAGATGACATTGCAACAACAGGAAAATTCGGTATTGGCTTCAATGCTGTCTACCACTTGACAGACTGCCCAAGTTTTCTGAGCAACAGTGACACCCTGTGTGTGTTCGATCCTCTTCTGAAGATCTCCCCCATAACACAAAAAATATCACCTGGAAAACAGTTCAGGGCAGGCAATCAATTCAGGGAAAAATTCCCTGACATGTTGAGAGGATATCTTGAGGATATAACAGCCTTTAGCGAAAAGACAGGAACAGTGTTTCGGTTTCCACTTAGAGCGCAGCCATCGGATATTTCTGTAGAAGTATACCCAGAGGATAGAGTATTGGAATTGCTCGGTGACTTCAAAAAAGTGTCACAGGAATCTCTGTTTTTCCTCAACAACATCAAGACCATCATCGTTTCATGTGTCAATAAGCAAACACATGAGATACAAACGGAGTACTGCATCAGTGCCGAGTTATCCGAGCAAGACGAAGAAGGTCGCAAAAGGCTCAGAGATCATCTGAAGCTTTTCAAGAATAACCCCAGTCTGACAGTTGAGCCTGTGTCTCAAGTTTACACTGTCGAAATAAAAGACTCACTGGGCACCAAACAAAACTGGCTAGTCTCGCAGATGGTTGGCTTTGAAGGTTCTGCCCTGGAATGTCAATCGACACCAAGAGTTCCGACTATAAAAAAGCCTGTTCCACGTGGTGGAGTTGCAGCGCTTCTGAAAGACGGCGGGGTGGCAACTTCAGACAATCAGCTCTGCAAAGCTTACTGCTTTCTCCCTCTGCCGGTTCACACCAGTTTACCAGTGCATGTTAATGGGACGTTTGAGCTTGACTCGGCCAGGAAGAATCTCGCAAAAAGGGATGATTATGCAACATCAGATACTTCTACCGAGGAGGGTGCCTTCATCCATAAATGGAATAAAATTCTGGTGGAGCACGTAATTGCTCCGGCCTATGCCAGATTAATTGAACGCGCAGGAAAGATCATAACAAGACAAACGAAAGGCAAAAACTCGTTCAAAGACCAACTTCAGTTGTATGATGAACTTTTCCCGAAGGATTTAAAGAAATATCAGGGAGAGTGGAGTCTCCTAGCAAAAGCCACCCTCAGGTACATCAGCAGTGAAAACATGCAGGTTTTACCTGTTGTGCGTCAAATGGGAGATCCACTTACAGTCACTTGGCATCATCCGAACAGTGACACCAGTTTCGCGTACACTGATGACTTAGGAGCTGCAGGAAACGTCGAAGGCGACATGGAGGGATTAAGTGGCACAGAACAGTTTTTAATGCGTTCCTTCCTACTGAGAGTGGGCTTTAATTTACTAGCCAGCTCTTCGACATTATGTTTGGCATTTCGAGACTGTGGCGTGAAAGCAGAGTTTGTAAACCCAAAGGCTGTTGTTCAGCATCTTTTGTCTGGATCTCGAGTGGCAGAGACCTTACCTGCTCCACTGAAGAAAACAAAATTCCAGAACATCAAGACCCTCCAAACACTTTTCGATTACTGCCTCGCGGGTATCAAAGAACCAGCCGAGTTAAATGGCTTACCACTCCTCCTTACAAATGATGACACGTTGCGTGAGTTTTCAACACGTGATGGTTATTATGTGACGATCCACGCGCGAGTTCTGCCCAACCTGAAGGATAAATTCCTTCACAACCAGCTTGTTTCATCTTGCATTGCTTGGTTCAAGAAGAACGAAAACACCGAGAAAGCTTTCAACAGTGGGATTTTCAAACAGTTTACAGTTCCTGAGCTTGCTAAAAACCTGCGAAAGCATCTCCCTGAATATTGGGAAGGCTGCGGTCGGCACGTCGAGTGGGCACCAGACAAAAATGGCCACCCCTCCAAATCCTGGCTTGGACACCTGTGGTCATTCATCTGCAGTGAGACAGTGCAGAAGGAATCATCCCTTGAATGCATCAGTCAGTGGCCAATATTCCCAACCACTGCCAGTAAACTAGTGCCACCTTCACTGTCCAAAACCATACTGTATCTGGAAAACCTGGAAATTGGGTTTGGCATGAAAACAGCCAAGGCACTGCGTAAACTTTGTCTTCCTGTCATTTCACACAGCCTTATGTGTGAGCCGAGGCTAACTCATTACGGTGGTGCACCGATGCAAGTACCACATACTCCAGTGGGACTAGTAGAACTACTTAAAAAGCACTTAGCCCTACCCAACTCGCAGCAAGATGTCGCTGGCGTCATAAAATACGTGCTAGAAACAGTTGGACGAGTCGGTGAGCTATTGTTTGAGGAATGTGATACGCTACTTCATTATTTTCAGGAGGATGAAGCACTGTCTGAAGATAGCATCAAGACAATCAAAAAGCTGTCAATTTTCAAACGTGTTGAAGGAAAACAGACCACTGATCTTCACCATTTTGAATTCTATCATACAGCAGAAAGCAACTTGCTGCTAAAGGTTGAAGCCGAGACGTGGATGCAACACATGCATTGTGTTATTCTAGAGCCAAATCGGAGCTTGAATCTGATCCACGATAAGCTTGGAATTACTCCAATCACACAAGCTGACATGTATCTGAAATACATACTTCCCAGCTTCACCGTGCTTAGTGGTAAGGCTAAATTAGACCATGTTAAGTTCATCAGAGACAAAGTACTGCTCAATGCTTCAGAACAGGATGGGAAAGTAATTCTTGAGCATCTCTCTCACACTCCATTCATTCCGGATAAAAAAGGCATTCTTCGACAAGCAGGGTTTTTTTACGACAGTGACAACCTTGTCTTCAAAGCCATGATTGACCCGATCAAGTTACTGCCCGAATCCATGGGAACTCTAAAGTACTTCCTTGAAAAGATCGGTTTCCATTCAGGTGTCACCAAAGATGAGTTCCTAAGGTTCGCGAGGGATATAGAAACTAGGGCAGAGAAAGTAAAAGATAAGAAAAAACGAGAGAAACTATGTAGCATTTCAAGTGTTCTGACAAATGAGCTGAAACTGAACGAAGAGCTCCGTGATCCAGATTTTCTAAAAACAGTTGCTACCATTAAATTTATACCCTCGGTTCCAGTCAGCAAAGAACTGCTTCACATCCACCCTGCTTGCTCTGGCAACTATCAAGGATGTTCATTCATCGCTTACAAAGGATCAGTGTCTCAGAGATATCTGAAACTTGTGTGGTCAGTTTGCATGGTACTGCCAAATCGAGCTATTCCAATGGACGTCACCATAGAGAAGGGCGTTACTGTTCATGGTTGCCTTGGCATTGAAACAGAATCAGTTGCTGACAAGGTTATTACACACACCCAAAACATCTGTGGGCTGCTGGAGCAGAAAAATGCTGTCCACAAAGATGATACGCTGACTGAGGAAGAGAGAGAGAAATTTAAAGACATCGTTGATGAGATTTTGCGCTACTTGACAGGATTAGACGTAACTAAGTACGGTGCACAGATTGAGCGCCGTCTGCAGAATACACCCATATGCCTTGTGGAAGATAGACGTATATTGGTCAGGGCAGATCAGTTGGTGTTTCATATGGAAAAACGCCTTCAAACTTGTTTGCGACCCTACCTTTTTGAAGCTCCCAGAGATTTGGCACAATTTGATGTGCTTCTAAGATTACTTGGTGCACAGCGTTCCTGTTCTTTTGACCAGCTGGCAGTTGTACTGTCATCATTGCACGCGGAATGTGGTGAAGATCGTCTCAGTCCCAACGAATGGGAAACAGCAGTTGGCGCTTTTCGAGCAATGTTGCTGTTTTTGGACCGTGCAAATGGCCAATGCGAGACTTCCATCACAGAGCTTTATGTGCCTAGCTCAAAGGGATTCTTGAGGAAGGCAACAGATTTGTATTATGCTAATCTCACTCAAATGGGGAAATTCAAGCTTTCATCCACAGACCGAGAATTTATTGTGCCTATTAAACAGTGCAGAATATTAGATAAAGATGAAGTTTCTCTCATTGAACTTATTCCGAGGCACCTCCGACCTAAGAATCTTGGAGATGAAATGAATGCAAAGCCTCTGGACACGAATGAAGACTGCCCCGCTAGACAGCATTGCGAGTACCTGGAAAGCATCAAACGTAAGGTGAATTCTGAGGAGATGACTCGAGTCTTGCTCAGGCTAAAACAGCACCAACAGGAAGACAAGCAACCTAGTAAAGAAATTATAGAACGCATTGTACAACTGCAGCAATTCAACAAACTTGTCTGCAAGACTGAATTAAAACTCGGCTTGTACGACAAGAAAGGTAGGAAAATTGCCGAACGGAAGTACACTTTGAAGGCATACTTTGACGCACAAACAGGTATAGTTCACCTTGAACATGGTTCACTACCCATATCTAAGGAGAGAAGTTTGACTTTTGGACAGATTGCAAGCAGTTGCAATGCTCTCCTTGGAGGTATATTGAATTCCCATCATGAAAGCCTGTGTGCGAGGAGTTTGGATTGTCACAGTCTTGATGAAATGAATACAATCCTCTCCAAATCAGACATCCCAGAGTATGACATTAGGGGGCTTACTACAAAGGCTATTCAGCCGGACGAGTACAGACTCGGGTCTCTGATACCCGCAGATATTCATCACCTCCTTGATCAAGATCCATACAACCGTTTCAACGAAAACGAGATAGTTGCTTATGAAAGAAGCATCGAAGAAAGAGACCAGTCGCGTACCTCTGAGAGTGATAGTTTGGCACTAGGCTCTGGCGAATGGATGCCGTCTGATTCAACACCAGTCAATGCTGCTACTGAGAAAATTTATGCTAAGATCCTAGAGCAGATTGACAAGGATGCACAAGTTCGCTTACGAAGACGCTACAGAATTGACATTGGAGAAAAGGACCCCATCGTTGTGAAAGTAACTGCGCTTTATAAATTTCTGCGACCCAAAAAGCAGCCAGTCACGTCAGTCATTCATTTTACTGGGGAGTCTACGGATGAGGCTCCAGCGGCAAATTTTGAATCTGCTCTCCCAGAACACATGCAGGAAGATGAAGAGCAGATTAAGAGGGAGGTTGAGGAAGTATTTTCATTGCCACCAGAGGAGCGCAGGAGGGTTTTGAAGCGTCTCTATCGCAAGTGGCACCCCGACAAGAATCCAGGACAGCAGGAACGTGCTAATAAGGCATTCCAGTTCCTGAAGCAGGCAATAGAAATGCGTGAAAAGGGGAATCAGTCCGGCCGGAGCTGTTCTGATCAGTATTCCTCCTGGGAGTCAGAAGTTGAAAGGGACAGGGAGGAGGCTACGAGATATCAAGAGAGATATCACCAAAGTCGGCATAGCGCCAGATCGAGCGCATCAGACAGTTATTTTGTGCCACCATCCTTCACGAGAGAAACTCCAGATCCACGAAAAGCACGATTGTGGTTTCGGCAGGCCCAGGAACACTTTCAGTCAGCAGAACTGACGAGCAAGCAAAGACCGGTCCAGAGTCAGTGGGTTGCCTTCCAGGTACATCAGGCTGCAGAGACGGCTCTCAAAGCTGCTCAGTACAGTCTGGATGGACGCCCAGATACCAGTGTCAATGATTTGGTGTGTCTGGCAAGAGCTGTTTGCCGACATAAGGATGTAACCTCTGACCAACTGTTAGACATAACACTAGAGCTCGTTAGTCTGGACTGCCACTTCAGCAAACCACGCTACCCGCAGAATGGTAACTCTCAGACAAGCGGACAGGAATACCGTCATTTCAGCACCTACAACGTTTTAAAGAAGTGTGAAGAACTGCTGAATCTTGTCCAAGACATAATTGGTATTCGTGTGTTTTAAGCAGCATGGTTGGAGCAAGAAGCTTCTTCGCGCTGTAATGGATCTTACCTGTATATTGCTCTTGAAATTTGATGTTATGCTTCATTTGCCTTCCTGTGTGTGCACCTTATTCCATTAACCAACATGATCTGAAATTAAGGGTCAAGATCTTATATATTATCGCCCCCGTTTCGGTTCTGTGTCATGATCATTATCCACACACGTACTAAAGCACGTTTTTGCTGATACAAAGTTCGCCGAATTACTATTTTGTGTAATTACAACACTTCGAAATATAATGAACGAAGTAGGAGTCAATCATTAGAGTTAATCATTGAAATTAATCATTAGCTGATAAGTTAATCACTGTGTCTATATTTTTGACATTTGATTTTTTTTCTCTCTTCTGTTTTGGAGAAGTTTTAGGACGGCTGTTGTAACTTATTGTCTTTTTGCAATTTGTGAACAGACATTCAAATCAGTTGGCGCTATTTTGGAAGTCTTTCTTTTTTTAATTTTGTCTTGGATTCGTGACTTGTTGCAGTTTTTCGTGTAAGAGTTTTGAGTGTGATGTTGTTTTAGTGAACTTGATGAGAAGACTGCATTTAAAATACTTCGATTCTTTAATTTTATTACACTTAAAAAAGAAACTACATGTACATCACAAAAGCAGAAAAGTTGAATTCACGGTTGTCGTCAAAATATTCGATCCAAATTTCTGCCTGCTCGAAAGCATAAAAACAGATGGCCGTTTTTCGGCCGCCAGCGAGTGAAGAAAAGGTAAAGTCTTAAAAAAAAATAGAAAAATGCATAACCAAACAATGTTCATTCGCTTTTTGAGTTGGAAAAAAAGTAGAAAAGTCAAAATTGCATGTTACCAGAACATAAAATCTGCTTTTCTACCATTCTGTTGGCAGAAAAGCAGATGGCCTCTTTTTGTCCTCCACATATATAACCTCCCTACATTTCGAAATATTTTTAGAAGAAACTATAAAGAATTCAAGACATTTTAAGACTTGAATATTTATGAAATCATAAATTGGTTTTTAAAACAACGATCTAGTAATAGTTTAAATTCACACAATCAAATCTGGAGTTTCAGAGAATGATCTTTCCAAAAACAAGACTAGAAATGAAAAGCAGTTAGAGCGACCAAAAACGAGGACAACACGTTTATGTTATTGTAAAAGTACTCGAACGTAAAGAATTAGACGTAGTCCAAATGTTTATTTAGATCTTCTTAACGGACGCGCTTTCAGTGTTACGCCCTTTGTAGCGGAAGTTATTTGTATTTCCCTTCATCCTACGAACGAACGCAGTTTATTCTTATCGTACTATGATTTGAACTTACACTATCATAATGCATGATGATAGAAATAAGGTACACTTTCCACACAAAACACGTATAACAAGGAGTTTTGGAAAACGTGTTTAGATTTCGTATATTATGTAGTCCTGTTTTTGACATTCCACTTCTCGCTATTTTTCTAAAATACCTTGCACCAGTACCATTTCCAAGAGTGTGTTAAGTGGAGTAAATTTAATTCAGTTATCTCTATGCATTTATATATACATCATTGTTTCTAGATGTTTCTAGAATACGAGGTTTTATTTACTGCATTTTCTAAAAGCGTTTCACTCTTTGTTCTGTTACATGTTGTACGTGGATGCTTTGTATTTACACTTAGCCACGATTTAGCTGCGAAACTGAACTGATTCAGTTGAGATTGAATCCCACGACTCTTTGAAATTAATGTAAATTTGTAAGATTGTTATGCTCATTATGCTTAACATAATAATTACATTATTTGTATTGACACGTGTGCATTTGCCTCGTACCAACAGCATGATGAAAACTGGACTTCGTGATATTAACTTGCTATTAAACTGCAAAGTTTTATGTGGCAGGACCTTGCTACTGAATTATTGATGTGAATGTCGTACCAATTAACTTGTAAAAGATAGCTAATCTTATAATGAAAAAATTGCCTCGCGTTAGGGCATATTACAGAAACAAATACGGGAGAATCACGTGGTTTGTTTCCATGTATATGAAGTGTAATTCGTAGTTTGTTAATGTAATGGGGTATTTTAAATGATACTATGCGGATATAAACACTTCTTTGTGCTTGTTTTACGCGAACTCGTAGCATACTCGTAGCACATTTGATTTTTCAAGTGATCACTCTTGGAGTGAAAAAAAATTATACCTCTTTTTCACCAAGTCAAGAATTGAGAGCTGTTTAAAAGACTCCAAAGAGTTCTTACGTGATTTTCGATGTAGTGGATTTATTATTGTTTTTCTCTTACACGTACTGACGCTGCGGCAAAAGTTATTTGTAGTTTCTGTTACAATAATATTTTACTATTATTGAACTGTGATGTAGAATTAGCACTATGGGAAGGAATGACGATGATAATTGTGTGTGTTGTCCATACACCCATGGCAAGATTTTGTTGGAATGGCAGTGTTATAAAATTCAGGTACATATATATGTATATGGACGCTGTTATTTACGTGAATGACTAAAATATGAATAATATGCCGCAAATATTCGATTGTCACGAGCATCTTCAAGTCATTGTGTAAAACTGTGGATTGTTAAGCTTTCAGTAATCAGGTAACATTTGTACACGCGTAAGATGATGTTTCTAGATGTAGGGTTTTGTTGGTTGTGTTTGCTTTCCAGAACTATTGTAGATTTTGTGCGTACATTCTCACTGTCATAACACCTAGCCAATATTGAGAAACAGGACATCGACGACAGAGATCTTAAAATGGTTGCATCAATGTCAGGTCAGAAACCTTGGAAGTATAATATGACGCACGTATTAAGTCAGAGTGTAATTACTTATAATTCCACAGCGCAAGTGGTGCTCATAAGATCGGCGTGTTGTTGAAACAGTACACATCCTGGAGAGATGCCCTTTTTAGGGCTTACTTTAAATGAACGTATTTACTAGTCTTAGTTTTAGCCATGTTTCGTTTTGTGTAAAATGTATTTTGATTTTAATTAACTTTACATATTAAGTACGGTATAGAATTTCAGTAATGAATATGCAAAACTGTTTTGTTTTCAATCCAGAGAGGCATTTTCCATCCTTAATGCGGTTAGACGTGATAACCGATTTTGGTTGCACGTACCCGAAATGTCAATTTATGGGTTTAATTGATTAGTTCAGCTTGGATACTCACGACATCTTAAAGGTTCATGAAAATATATATCCGATTGGTTATTTTGCGGAGAATGTACAAAGTGCATTTTATTGGTATGTGTGTATAGTCTTACGAATGACCCGCATTTTTCCTTCGTGCATCTGTTCTTTGAAGGCTTAGGCAGTGAGGTTGACCTGCTTATTTTGCAAGAGTTTTGTATGACAGCAACCTGCTGCTTCATAATTGATGCGAAATCCATACAAATTACCATAATGAGATTCGTAATATTGTAATGGAAGAGTATCTTAAAACACAGCTTAATTGAACGCAGCAAAATGTAGGATCGTGTAAATTATATTTTTTCATGAATTTGAAGCATAATTCACGCCTTTTGGATGTAGCAGACAAGTTCCGAAAATGTAATATATTGCTCTAGGGTAATTGTGTATTGTAGGTAAATAGAAAGCAAGAAGAATCGGAAATCTTACGTCTGGCCGTATAAACAATAATAGTAATATTTCAATTTTCCGTCGGCCACATGGGGAGCGTTAGAGAATGAGAAGAGAATTTTAAGGTAAGAAATGAAAACGCGGTTCAGTGACTTAAGGAGTTTGCAATAAATCTTAACGGTCGGTTTTAAACGTGGGAATAAGATGTTCCGACTTTTTAAATTAATATTTTCCGCTTACTCACGTAAAGTCGTAAGGCCAAAAGTACTTTGTAAAATCTGTTTGTAATACGGTATCAGTTTACTCTCATTTTTAACTGTGATCAGATTTAACGATCAGAAACATTTTGTGGTCCAAATACTCTATCAAGGAGATTTGGGAAAAGGTCTATTTACATTTCATTTATTTTTTATTGCCTTAATTTCAATTCTATGGATTTCTGATACTCCTCTGGTAGCATTATCAAGATGTATTTTAAAAATCAGGGTGTAAAGCTAAATTTAAATTGATTATAATTTAATTCAGCAAGCATGAAACATTTGTGTACTCGTTATCAGATCGAGGTTTTAAAATGCATTTTTGTTTAATGTGTTTATGCTTTTACATGTGTAATCTTTGTACTAGTATATGTGAATTGGAAAATACTCAACTTTTAGGAGTGGTTACAAATGGTTGCACATTTATCGAAACAGGAGACATCCTGAATATAAGATTCAAAGATATGAATCTACCGGTGGGAAACAGAGGGGAAACAGGGAACATGTAATTGAATAATAGTGCAGTTCTGTCCGGGGTCATAGAATATTTTGATTTTTGGGGGCAAAGGTGGCCAACTCGGATTTAGCTGAAATTTTTACTGCAAAGAGGACGGGAGGTGTTTATGAAATCCTGTAATTGAATGAAAGTGCAGTTTTGTTATGTAAGCACAGTATTGTGGATTTGAAGGATTTAAAGTTAGAGAAGCTGCAGGATTAAATATTTCTTTGCACCAAAAAGGTAATGATGGAAATATGAGTACGGTTAAAAACTGAGGATGCAAACGCAATAATTTTATCTTTGTTTGGAGTTATTAACAAAATCTCGGATAATAGTAGGATTTGAACTTCAGGAAAGAAATGGGTCCTGAATACTGTTATATAAATATTTCTGGAATCGTTAATGGATGTAAATGAAACATATGCTGAGGCTCACCTAATGTGCAAAAACGCATTCATTGGTTACTAAAATTACATGATTTCGCATTTTCCTCTTTCAATACTAGTGCTCTGATTTATTAATTTGGATGTGAACTTTATGGACTAAACATAACCTTCTTAAGTAACATTGGCCGATGGCCACCCTCGACTTCGCATCCGAGGACGAACAGACGCGTCTTTGTTGAAAAATTGTTATTTGTTGAGAAATCTCTGTTTGGGTGGTTTATTGTTGTAATGGGTTAAGGTAATTATTACTGTTCATTACTCAAAATCACATTGTTGTTAATCTTGACGATCTCTTTGAATGTTTTGAGTGTTTATGGTTAAAGGAAATTTCAGCTATACCGTGTGAAATTAAAGTGCATCAACACATGTATCTTTTGGAAAAACTGCGCTTTAATAAATCCTGTTCTGAAAACTATTAATAGAAATAACTCACGATGGTTTCTTTATTTTCAGTTTCTATTGATTGAAAGTTAATTGAAAGTCACTAGCATGCGGTCATTATCTGAGCACAGTGTCCGTTGCATTCAGACAGTAAGGCCTATTTGCACATGCAGACATGCAAGTTTCAATCAATCCAGGGTGAAGACTCCGTCTCCATCCTTCCCACTGCAAGTCTGCAAGCTACATCTTAAAGATACAGCAGTGAAACCTCAGCCGTGTCTCAAACTTAGAACACTGACAAACTAGAGATACTCATTGCAGGTCTCTGCTTTTAGAAATGACGGATATGTAAGTATGTATATGCTATTTCATTTCAAACTCCCAAGCCTAAAAAGTACTCACTTTTTTAAACCCAAGCCTTTAATTTTGAAAGTTTTATACTCATTCAATGGTTAATGCTATCCTAACAACGTGATGCAGGAGGCGGCTAATATTTCCTCGTTTGTTTTAATGTGTTTTATGCAAAAATGTGGTGTTTATTTTATAAAAATGCAAAGTCTTTTACATACAAACTTTGTTTATTCTCTATTTTCCCCGGAACTAGGAAGTGTGAAAATTGAGGAAATTCCTCGGATGGATGGACAGTTTTTAATCATGCTAAGTGGTACTAGGGTTTCATTCAAAACCTGTATTTTGTGAGGAATTGGTGAAGCAGATTACAAATATAATTATGTGAGCAGTAGTGTTGTGGGAAAGCTGTCATGGAAATAAATGAAGACGTCGGCCCTAATAATAATGCCCCATGGCAGAATCATCAAAAAAGCCCAAAACGACATTATTGGACGAATTATATGCATTTTCAATTATTTGAAAGAATGAAAGTCTAAAAAAATTTCGGTACGATGAAATGGCCGTCACATAAAAGGTGCACGGAACATTGTGGCAGTAGACTCCAATGGAAGGCATGTAACAAATGATGCTTTTAAAATAAGTCCGAAGTGAGAAGCTGTCGTTTGAACTATTTGAAGGATTATGTGTGTGGATCCTTTCGATTCTATGTCCAGCTTTACAAACTTTGAATTAACGGAGCCTTACAGGGTTTTATTAGTGACGTAACGGGACACAGCGGGGGCATATGTCCCATGTCCCCATTTGAAATCTTGGAATGAATCTTTGAAATGCAGCTCCAGCTCATTTTCTGATGGTGCCCCTTGAAAAAATGTGTTCACCCCGCAGGTGCCCTCCCCCCCCCGCCCACATTTAGCCTGCGTTACGCGCCGCCACCGGGTCATATACACTTAAACAACTCCCAAACAAAACGGGAAACAAAATTGGACAATAACTAAATGATATATAGTCTTTTTGCGCATTAATTGTGCTCACTGACAGTACAAAGCGCTAATGAATATTGCATACATTTCTTTACACGTCAGATTCTCGGGAAAGATCTGGCAGAGTATCACAGATTTAATAAAGCTTTAACAAGCTATAATCTGTGTTACTCGATTGTTTCACTTTTCGTGTAACAAAATTGATTTATCATTCCAGTGTAATGAGAGGAACTTAATCTGAAAGTTCTGACCACAACTAACCCTATAGCTACACCACTGTTTTCACTGTTGTCAATATTTGTTTGGCTCAAACAAAAAAGGTACAAAACATTCAAATAAATATACTTAAGAGCAAATGAAAGGTTTATTCTTTTGGACACTTTATTTTAACTACACAATCAATACGTTTTCTTAAATAATTGTGAATGCTCTGTTCATAGTGATTACTCAATAATGCCATAGCCATTCGCAGAACACCTGTCATTTCGAGAGTCGTGGCTTCATGTCTGTTTGAATTAACACCATTTGTGGAGTTAGTTATGACTAAATGAAACCAGTGGCTCTAGACTACTAACTTCTGTTTACATGTCGGTTTTGATGAACCATACAGCCGAAAGTTTGAAAGTGATGAAATCTAGAGTCTATAAAATCTAGAAAAAGCTGCTGAGGTAGAAAAATGATCCAAAGCAAACATGGAATGAGTTTGGAACTTTAGACGTAAACCTTGACCAATGAGAGTTACTGTGTGTTGATGTGGAAATGGCTGGGCATTTTATATTTCATAAGTTAATCTATGTCAGAACTGGCTGTGTACATGTATGTGAAACCTCAAAATTTCCAATATTTATGCAACATAAATAAGGTAAGTAGAGTTGAGGTAAATGACGAATATGAACCCCACAAGGATTTGAAGTATTCATCATAAAAGAATACAGTATACAGTATTAAAGTGTCCACGACACCGACTCCCTTTTTATTTCCATCGAATGAAGTTCTTATGAGGAACCTTCAGATATGCTCCCCGTTCAAGAGGTACAGTGAATATACTCTCAACACAATCTAACAGTATATGGCTGTACTTCACAGGGCCAATACAAACATTGGCAAAGATGCTGCCATTAGATCATTCAATCAATGGAATCAACAATTTGTTGATTTCTTATTAATTTCTAATTCTGTACATGTACGGGTAATTACTGTCCAGGGGTTATTCTTTGCGTAATTCATGGCATTTAGGAGAATTATCGAAATGCTACAAACCTTGCTAAAATTGTGTCACGGTGCTTTAGTTATTTTTAAAAGCAAAGTTAGGAAAAAATGGGTTTATTTAGGTGGGTGTCACTTTTAGCTAAGTGTTGTTTGTCTTAGATTAGGATTTAATCTCTAAAACAACCATAATCTGTATCCTGTACAGAACATTTGAATTAAGGAAAACTAATGAGGCTATCTATTTAAGGAAAGGAACAAAAGTAAAATCCATGCAATGCAGGGATAGAAACCAAAGTCAATATTCGGATCCTTTGTGGGAATTGACCCACAAGTCCTATAGAAGAATGGTTAGAAAATGAACAATCACTTTAGATTTACATGGCACATTCCTCATGTCAAAAACCAGATTAAAACATTAAAACGTTTATCACAGATTTGTTACACCTCTTACAAATGTTGCCCAAATTTCAGCAGCTCCCCAAACAACGTTCATTATCAGCAGTCAGTATCAACTTCCTAGAAATGTTTGCAAAAAGCCTCCCTGCATCCAACGACTTTTAGAGTCAATGAACTGTAAAATACATTCTCTACGGGCTCTGAAGTAGCATAAAAGCCATGCACAGGGTGAGTAGTTAGACTCTAACCCCCCCCCAAAAAAAAACCCTTAAAAATCCATCAATTATCTTTAGAGGCCTTGGGGAGATTTCAGACAGTCAGGTTTAAGGCCAATAATATTTTCAATCAGTCGCATGTGAATTGCTCAATTGCAGTGCTAAAGGGCAAAGTCCAGAGACCATCCAAACATGCCATGTGCCTCTGAGTTCATAGGTAGCTAACTGATCCAGTCCACGTCCTCAACACTTCTAATATACCTTGAGTGTTGATGAGACCAGCTGGTAGACATCACGTTCCTGCTGGATCTGATCATGAGCTCAAGACTGGTCACCGACTTTCTTTTCAATGTACTCCCACGTTGCAGATGTCCCTCGGTCCTGAAACAAACATCAGACCAGGGAGATAAAAGTAAATGGTCAGGGTTCCCAGCATTTCATGGGAACAAAATTCCCTGATATTTCCCAACTGGAAGTCAAAAATTCCCAGATCACCACTTTGGCATTATTGTCTGGTAGTGTACACTATAGGTGTTTGCGTTACAAGTTATAAGGTTATCGGTGCACCGCAGCTAGGCCTACATTGATACAGAGAGAAACAGCCATTTACTTCAAGTACGCTAAACTATACAACAAAAAGACCATAGCCATGAAATCATCCAGAGGATTCACTGTTTGGTATGGACACCAGGCGAGAAAATCTGACCACCGGACTAACAAAATTCCCTGATTTTTTTCTGATTTGAGTGACTTTTCTCAAATTCCCTGACAGGAAAAATGGGAAGTCAATTTCCAGGTTTTCCCTGATTTCTAGGTTTGCGGGGACCACCAACGATGAAACTGGTTAAAAATAAGGGTTGCATAGTGCGTACATACAGATATGCGTACCAATTCACCGTTGGGAATGGCAGATTAACTATGTAACTATGGGTAGGGGAAGGTGTTCCACCTGTCTGTGTCCCCTAAGCTCTAACTTTAGACTTCAGAATCAACCCTAAACATGCTGCACCCGTGAATATCAAAGAAACATCAAACTGCCATCGCTAAAGCCAAATTTTAAAGCATAATTTTCACACACTTCACACATTCAGAATGTTTGAAACATGATTCCATAACCAAGTCAAAATTGGAGACAAAACCAAGATTAAGAAAGAAGAACTACATGCAGTCCATAACTTCATAACCCACCTTTATCTGGACTCCCGCCTGGAGCAAGCCTTGACGGACATTGTCACATTTTTGGAGAAGTTCGGCACGGCGATGCAAAGCCTTATACATCAGCTTTTTAGACTTTGGTTTGTCAACTGAAGCCAAAAACAGAACAAAAGAAATTGTATGCCTCCTTAAGAAAGTATAAGTCAAATAAAAGCTATCCATAGTTTGCCTTTTTAAAGCATAACTCATGAAAAATACTGTCCTATTTAAATTGTGGACCCTTAATCCACTCATAGCTATAAAAAAAGTCTGGGCTTGCATATGAATGGCATTACCTTTGAGTACCTATCCCCCACACTGAGACACTAATGGATTTGCCGACATTCAGACAAAACTTACATTTCCATGGTCTGTGCAACACATGAGCAAACCAGAACACAAATGATCTACGAGAGGTTTGGGCTTACAGCCACAACTGAAAAAGCACAACTGCATCTAACTTAAACTGTGGCAGTCTTTATGCACTGCTACTGCACATTAGTTATAAATTTGCCAAAAGATTGTAAACAAAGTTCAAACACCCTCTGTACTCACCTGTTTCCGTTTGCTTTACCTCTGACCCTTTGAGGTCATCTTCCAGGGGTGTTTCTAGTGCCCACTTTCGGACCTCACTCCTCAGGTTGATGAGCGTGTCCATAGTAGAAGACAGTGCTTTGGTTGATCGGCTAGCTGCTACATCCTGCGTGGTATAATAGATGCAAATAGGTTTCCATTTGGTCAGTCTTAAAGTGTATGTAGTCACGTGCTTCTCATTATTCTACAAAGGTGACTAATGACGATATTCACAGACATTATCTTTATAAATGTGCAAACCAGACAATTCACTGATTTCACTTAAAATGAAAAGCTGCAGCAGACTGCTGACAGGAATGACTAGCAGTATGCCAAGCAGAAAAGGACTTGATATTTAAATTCTACCAAATCTAGAGAGATGAAGCTATCAGCTTGTCTACCTCTTAAACATGTATTAAAGTTTTGAGTTTCTGCACTGTTTGTTACTGGAAGACGATCTGTATTAAGCAATCAATAAAATCAAGAATTTTCTCTTTGCTTGATGAGCCTTTCATTAAGGTAAAATGCTGTGACTAACCCATCAAGGAACCAACCTATCCATAATTAAAACGTACTCTTCTAACTTGCCTCAACTTCAGAAAATCAGATGTTTCCATATAAAAAAAACAAGTATGTTTACTTTCCAAAAATCTTGTTCTGACTCTGAATGTGGCACATTTTAGTTTGGCATTCTGTGTGTTACCGAAAGATTCCAGATCATTTCCAAATGGAACAGGCAAATGTTCAATTTCAAGATGCTCCCTTACACCTGGTGGTTTAATCTTCCCCAGGGACCAGCTTGTAATATCAGGTTCCAAAAACATAGACAAGGAAAAAGCACCTTCCGACTCTGGAACTTGACTCCTAGCACCTGAAGCGTCCTATTGATGTAGGAGGAAACACCAGCTATTGCACCCGGGCATCGAGGCACATTCATATGTTGCTAAAAAGAAAAAGAAGCAAACGCTTAACTGACACAACACGCCTAACATCAAGAGGCAAGATTCAAAAACATTGGCTGAGTTCCACAGTGCATTATGTAAGGAAGTAACTCCTGGTAAATTCCATACAAAAATGGAAAATTGGTTAAGCTGTTACCAACCTAATTGCAGGTCATTCTGAAGGAGAGATTTTTGACCAAAACGTATCATTACCTTAACTGCACTTTCATTTTTGGAGGGAAAATATGTTTAATAATGGGGCTGAAGATGGAATCTCCATTTTCATATGGAATTGCCTTCCTGCTAATCATCATTATGAAAGGTATGTGGGAATATTTTAGGCACTGCACAATTGACCATGTCCCCCTGATAAACCTCAATCAAGCTGGGAAATTAAATCTAGAATCTGCCTATGTACCACATTGTGCTGCATGGGTTTTTACTATGCTGACAAAATTTTGTATGAGATGACAGAAAATACCAAAGCCTGCAAACTAATACCTTTGGACTTCAATAACTCATGATCCCGAAACCATGTTCATGTAAAAAACACCAAAGATTCTGCATTCTGTCCACAACTGCTGTACACTACATAAGTTTGAAGTACTAAAACAACTTCGCATTGACAGAAAATCCCTCCAAAAAGTTATCAATTGGGAAGGGTAGATACATGTATCAGCACTAGATAGGGTACTTTTGTGCAGCATGTGACATGCACGCACAGACATGGGGATGAAGTACGTGTACTTCCATGTAAAATTATCAAGAACTGAAGGAAACTCGTTGCTTTTTACCTGGTGCTGTTTACCCCCTATAGCCATGTTTGCCATTCGTACCAGCTCCATAATTGCATCCAGTCCACGCTTAGTGTCAAAATCGTCAGCTACAGCCTTCATGAATGTGGCCTGGGTATCTGCAAGTCTTTACGGTAAGAATAAAATGAGGAAACAAACTTCTATTGAAGAGACATGTCGCAAATTGGGACCATAAAAGAATGATCCCTTACACAATACAAATTGTGTTAAGGAGTGTATTGTGTAAGAAACAACACACTCCTCAAGGGGAATAACCAGTGTTTTCTAATCTCCTCATTGGTACGGACTGCCTCCAGTCTGTGTTATAGTAAAGTCCATCACAAGTTAAGTCTCAAGTCTTTTCACAAGCCGATTCACAGGTGGCAAAATGAAAAGTGGTAAAGAAATGTGTCTGTCACACTTTATTTGAACAACTTGTGAATTGACTTGAGAAGTTCTGCCCACTAGTCCTTACAAGTACTGCTCTACAATTCAGGAGTGAGATTGACCAATGATAAAAATAGCTGAAAACAGTTGAAAAAAGCATAAAGAAGCCGAACTGTGAAAATTTCCTATACTTTTGTACACAGCCAGTGAGGGAAAAAAAGCTGAAATGCCAAACAAAAAAAGCTGAAATCAGCTAAAAAGCTGAGAAATCTCACCCCTGACAATTGTTACCAACTGATCATGATAAGGCAATCTACCACAAAACACGAAATTCCCAGTTTGCAAATAATGATCACATTGTCCTGAGCAGATGTTGGAATAAGATCAAAATATTTTACTGACTTTTGCATAAGAGCTGCCTCGCTGATTTCCTGTGCCATAAGTTGACCCTTAACATAGGCATCAGCATCGTTCAGAAAGGAAGCCAGCTGCTTGCATATCTTGACAGCATGATGTACAGTCTCTTCAGAATATTCCATATCTATGAAACATTAACATCTTTGATTCACTAATCAAGAAATAATGCAAAGGAGTGCTTCTTACAACAATCCAGATCTGGCTTCTTGCCTTCTCAAAAGATTCTTCTTTTTCACTGCTACAACTCACCGTTGTTGTACTTGGACATGAGACAAAGGACTCTGAAGTGATTGGCTGTGTAGGACTGCAGGAAATCGTCAATGGTCACAACGTTCTTCAGCGATTTTGACATCTTGTTGGGGTCACTCTTACGAAACAAATGCCCTGAAAAAATTTAAACCTGCATTTTCAGCTCACTGAGGATATTTGCATTTTACTTGTCTTTGTAAATCCTATTCAAGCATCACTTCAAAGAATGTTATGCTCTGCACCCTGATGAGGAATTCATGCAACTCTACAAGATGTCAATAGGATCCAATACGACCAAGTCAATGTTGCCTAGTAACCTATCCAGGAAAATTGACCTCATAGTTGACAGATGATCACTGATCAAACTTGGCCTATGCTGCTACATTTTAATCTTTATAGGCTATTTCCAAAATTCAGATCATTAAACAACAGCAAATCAGACAGAATAACTGCACAAGGACACTTTAGCTAGGGCTAAACAAATTTGATTTGCTTTCAATTACATGCCCTCGAAATGGTGCCAGTGGGTCAGAAACTTTTTAGTTTTTGCTTATATTGTTTGTGCTAATTGCATGGGGCATTCAATTTTATGCAGATTTCAGTCTGGACTATTTCCATTTGTGCTACAAAAGCTATAAAAGTTGCCAAAAAAGTGATAAAAACTCTCCTTATTTTATGGAAAATAGTATTTACAATTGACAATTCTTGAAAATAATGGACAATTCACATCACTACCATATGTACACTAGTAACCTCATGGTCATGATGGGAAACTAGCCAACAATGTTTGCACATGTATTTTGATTATAAGCAAGTGTGATGCATCTTGGGGATGGGCAAAACCCTTTCTCTGTAGGAAATTTTGGGAAATGGCCTTACTTCAAGTACACTTGGTACAACAATTTACATGCATCCACCCTTATTTACCTGAATGGAGGAAGTACCTTGCCCATGACTTAGAATTGAAGCAGGCCTCACACTGCGCAATCTCATTGTTGTGGTGGGGAAAGGCAAGGTCACGACCTCCAGTGTGGATGTCAAGATTCTCTCCAAATATTGCACTGCAATAAAAAACAATAAACAATTAGAAACACTTAAAAGCAGAAAAGGACTGAGAAGAAGAGGCACAAGCTTTTTGTTTCACTAGCGCCCTTTGATTCCACATCTGAAGACTTAACCGTAATGAAACCAGGTTCTACGCTCCAAGTAATACAAAAGTAACATGTAGCCTTCACGGCCATATTTTTGTGCTAAAACAAAGTTGCTACATTCCTTTAGACATGTTAGAGAAGTAAATTCAGTTTTGAAAGCACTTTTCAAGTATATGCCCACAACCTTTGATGAAAAGCATAAAAACTGGTAATATGGACTCTGTTGGCAAACTTAGCATGATTAAAACATTCACAAAGTAAAGACAAAACCAGTAACGTCGAAGTCAGAGGTCATGGACTTGTGATGTCTTGAAAGGAGCAAAGACAGCCTTAGCAAGCTCCACTACTTGGTCGTGACATTATTTGCTTGAATATTGCAATTCACGGGTGAAGTTAGATGAAGCTGCAGAGGTTTCAGAAGTTTTCCTCTGTATGTTCTGCTTTGTTGCATGGTTCCTACTAATCTGCTTCTTAATAATATTGGAAGTTGGTCAAGTCAAATTTTGGATTCTTTTGACCTCTAACATACCTCTACTTGCTATGATACACCACTGTATATATATTCATATATATATGTATCACTTTTACTGTTTTTCTTACAATTCAAGACAACTTTAGCTAACCATGACAAAGTTACTATGAATCAACTGTGAACAGCTACTTCAAATTTGATCACAAAACAAATGTATGAAACAGAGGTTATGCCATTTAAAAAATACTTCTACACATTTCCCATACTCTGTGTACAAAAATGAAAGCTTTGGGCCCAAAATGGCAATGTAAGTTCTTTCAAAAGAAATTCAACCTGTGAACAAGACTCCACATGCATAAGGTAGATATTCTCAAGGTCGTCTATAATGAATATGTAGCAACGGTTTGTACTCAAGGTTAAGAGGTTCTACAAATTCCTAACTTACAAGAGTTAACTAACAAGAAATGGGTTATAAACTAACAACTAATCACATTTGCTAAAATCAGTTCTGAGCTAAATTACAGCTGAGTGCCAGTCACATAAATAAGACTGCATGCTAAGCAAACATTTTCTTGGCTCAGCAAATTTCTGATATTGGATGCAGGACTCCAAAGACTGCCTACCTCAATCTTCTTACCACAGGTATGATTTCGCTACATATTGCTGGTGGTTCCCACCATGCCTGGTGCCATCTTAACCCCAGACTTTTGGCAATTTAAACATCCAAATATGTAAATTAGGACTGTAGTCAAACGTCAAGTTAATCTTTTCAAAAGTAAATACACCTTGTAACTACAGTTGACATTACAAGAGTGCATATAACAAACAGTACCTTCGAAACATGTGCACAGTGCATTTAAATGTACGTTTATTTGTTCTGATCAAATATCCAATCAGCATCATAATTGGATTCTACACAGCAAAGGGCTGGTGAAGGGCTACGCATGCAGCCTACGGGGACAAAGCTGTACCTACCTAGACATGGCAGAGCATTCAATATGCCAACCAGGTCGTCCCTTTCTATTTCCCCAAGGTGAATGCCACCATGGTTCATTAGGCTTTGCGGCCTTCCACAAAGCAAAGTCCTCTTGTGATTTCTTGTTGGTATCCGTCTTCCTTGGTTCCATGAAGTGTGTGGCTAGCTTCTTGTAGCGATGAGCGCCAAAGGCCTGCACATCAAAGTACACGCTGCCTGTCAGGAAATGACATGGAAACATTGCAATTACAATTGATTGACTTTCTTCTCATTTACTTTGAACGTGGTTCAAACATGAAAACACAGAGAGAGAACATACCGCTAAGAACAAGCAAATTTTCTTGTCCATGTATAATCACATTGTAAAAACTTTTGGGTGGAGGGCTATTTCCAAGAAAAAAATATAATCGGGTAGTACACATTTCCTTATTCACAATTACTCCACAGGAGTAAGACCGTGTTGGCTTGCACAGGTCTCATAAGCTGTAAAATAATGATGTTGGTATCTGTCCAAGGAATGCCATCATTTTGGAATTATTCCAATGACAGTGAACAGCATGAAGTAGTATGGAGGTACATGTACATGATGCAAGCATGGTGCTCTTCCCGGCATGTGTACACAAATTACCAGCCGAGCTCAACTGAGCACACTGCACAATCTCTGCACTGAGATGTTATTTCTCGCATTAGACATGGCCACTCATGGCTGTTGCGATCAACAAATAACATCAGTGAATAGTTCCAGCAGGGTCTAGTGACAGCTGCTTACAGTTTTCTGCGACAAGTCCAATGGTTCTTCCACATACATCAGTTGTATTGCAAACATTAAGGTTCACTACAGTTCCAAAAATAGAGGACTGTATGGAAGAACTTCATCCTCATTTCCATTAATTGAGTATAGTTTTTACTTTTTAAATTTCAATTTCCTTGCATTGAGTTTCAATTCCAATGTCAGATCTCGACTAAATGAATGAAATGTAAATTGCGAGAAGGCCTACCACTTTCTGTAGGGTAAGCATAACCATTCTTGATAACCCTTTGAATGAAGTTGATGATCTGTGGCATATGATCAGTCACTCGTGGATTTACTGTCGCTGGCAAAACCTGTGAAAAAAAGGAAGAAATTTCACAACACAGGCATTTTTGGCTGTTCAACTTTTACACCATCTCAATATTTTACCTCTCACCTTGCCAAATCCAACAAGATTTTATGTGATTTACACTAATCCTTCTAGGTTAGGGCTACCGTGTTCTAAATCAAAAATATGAGGGACAATTCATATACATGTGTTGCTGGAGAATTTAGTTCAGTTCTTGAGGTCGTTAATAACATTTCTGGTAGGGGCAGGATAAAGACATATCTGCAGGTAAGTTACAATGTGTTGACCACTTTAAAAACACTGGACATAATAAAAGGGATTTAGTCTGCTGATTCTACTATTGAAAGTTTTGGTGAGTCCTCTAATTTAACTAAATGAACCGCTTGATGTTTAGAAGAATATGCTAATGAATATGCAGATGAATATGCTAATGAATATGCTAATGAATATGCTGATGCTGTCATTAAACCTCTTAAGGTTTTATTCTTTTACTTTTTCAAAATTGATTTTTTTTTATTTTACCTGCAACCTTTCCAGGTCTCGGAAGAATTCGGTTTCATACTTCTTAGTCAACTTGTAGAAATCCATGCCTTCCTCGCGTGCCCTCTGGATGATGTTACTGTCAATGTCCGTGATACCAAGGACCTGAACCACGGTGATGTCATAGTACTCGGCCAGAATCCGACGAAGAAAGTCAAACCGGACGTAACAACTGGACAAGGCAAAGTTCTTCAATTAATATATATGTGTATGTGCATGTTCTCATGTACAAATAAAAATGCATTTGTATAAGCTCTCTTCGGTGGACCATTTTATGACACTTCAATCTAAATTTTCTTCAAGAAATTGTTAATTTTTGTACAGGTCCAATTGAATTGATATGTAGAGGCTTTTTCTATGATTTGTTTTAAAGAAACGTTAATCATTACCTTCCATGGCCTAGATGTGGGCTGTCATATACTGTTGGACCACATGAATACCTGCCAGATAATGAATAAAGAATTAACAGTTTGCAGTATCTTTGCATTCACCATGGTAACACCACACCCAAGGTAGGGTTAAGTGCTTCTCCTACCAAAATACTATTTACAGTGCTGTTCTGAATCACTATTCAGTAGAACCAGGTCACCAGGTCCAATTTCATGCTACACATTTACATGTAATGGATTCTCTTCTGGTTTGTAAGTGCAGGTACATGTTTATTGTACAATAACTAGTCTGTTTCAGCTTCATGAAATTTGATCCATCCTCTGGTGGACTGGGAAATACCCATTTGAGAAATGATAGCTGGAAATTCTCTGGATTCAATGTACAAAGGAAAGAGTCCTCGCAGGAAATTTCACTATTTCATGGAAATACTGATGGACATTTTCTCAACAAAGCCCCCCAAATTAATAGTCGTTTTTCATCCCAAAGTCAGGCAATATGGGGCGTAATTGCAGAATGCCCCGCCACTCTAAAAAACGACCCCTGGAATGATTAGTTACATGGTTACATGGGTACAAGGTGAAAATCCCTTGAGAAAAGTGTGACACTTTGACCTGTACCTGGCTAGTATGAGGTTGATCGTGTGGGGTGGCAGGGTATTCTGCAATTGAACTCAGTATGGCGACAGGTGGATGTAGTTTGCTTTCACAGGCTGAAGCATAGTTTCACAAGAATTGGAAGCCATTAAAAATGTTCTGATGAGGGTCATATGGCCCCGTGCCCCAAGACTTGTTTGGCAATGACACAGTCCACTGCAAGATGTGGAAAGTGGTCAACTGAGTCCAAAGTTAGAAGTTCCAATTCAGCAGTGCATGTGTTTTATTTTTTAATGGATTAGTTGACAGAAATTGGTTTTTTCGTTTCCTGAGGTAAAAACATATGGAATAAAACCAAGCAGGAGGGGTTGCTAACCATGTTTTTTTTACTTCTCCAAGCCTCTGGCCTGATTTTCAGTTTTTATCAAGGCCTATTCATTTAACGAATGTACAAATACAATGAATTTTGTTTACCAAGTTGCCACATTTTGATTCCGCAGGACTAACGGTTCCTTTTTCAGTTGCTGTTTTGTTAATGAGTTTACGACCAGAATGCCTGTGTTGTGTCCAGTTCGTTCATGCAAAACATCTCCATCTGCTAAATTAGGTCCAGCTATCACAGGGGATGATCTCTTCAAATCGGCGATCTTCTCACGTTCAACAAGCGTCCCATTTCCGGTAAAGTTTCCACTGTGCTTATGTGTTTTGATGTTGACGCAGACATCACTAATCTGCTTATGAAACAGAACTGGTCTGTCATTTCCATGGCAACTTGTGCTGAAATATCTAGCAAAATTGGCGATCTTCGGGTTCATATTTCTAGCCAAACTGCATCGTATTGGGTAAGCATGGTGAGGTTTATGGTGCCTTCGATGTTGTATGTACACAGCACTTAAGTGCGTTTGTTCATGATTCGTAAGACCTTTCCTACTGTTAAAAGCGATCTTCTGAACCGTGTCCAATTGACTTCTTGAATACGACGCCAGAGACACACTCATTACATTTGGCATGGTAGAGCTTCCAGAAAAGCACCATCGTCTGCCACTCCATATCTGCCCCGATTTGAAAAACTTACAAAAATGCCCAGCACTCCAAACTGTACTTTGCGGCACCCGAGGTATCATATCTCAGCTTAATATCACTTAAGTATCGCACAAATGATGTTTTCAGTGTGAATGTCTCACAATGTTTTGTAGGCCTACGTCCCAAATCCGTCACTTCCGATGGATCATGGAGCAAGGGTACGTGATCGGCAACATTAACACTGCGCTGCTGGTCTATATCTTAAATGACCATCCACAGCTGGTCAGAGCTGTGTACATGTACTCGGAAACCTTCGGTCAGCGGCTACCATCTTCCCTCACGCACGTACACTGTGCAGCCATTGCGGTCAGCCGCAGCCAACCAAAACTTTCGGACACAGGTTACATGACTGTGATCGATCAGCAGATCTGCAGCTGTATAACCCTGACGTATTGATTTTCATTGAGGTAGGGCTTTTCACATTATTTTGTTATGCTATGTAAAACACTCTAAAGGAAGTAAATAGTAATTTTATCTCTTTTCCAAATATATCCTACTTTATTTATTATAAAATTGAGTAGGTAAAATGGACTTTCTATGATTTTTTGTGAGTTTTATAATAGTTGCGAAATTGTGATCCTCCTGTAGGGAATAATAGTACCACCCAACCGAACCCAGTGAAGATTAACTTCAGGTCATAGCGCATGCTCTGTTGCAGAATTTTGGAAGAATGAAAATGAAGTAAGTCGTATCCCCGCCGCTGCAAAGAAATCATGCCATCGTACCTTGAGTAGCTTCAACTTCAACTTATATTATACAAGTAAGGTCAGGAACCGGACTAAACAAGCAGCAAGCGGCACTGTTTGGTGACCGGAGCCGTGAATATCTTCCTGCAGTTGGAGCTTCATACTGATGTTGTCTGCTTGTCGAAATCTTCCAGAAAACCCTGTACATTTGAGAGTTATTTATCAACTTAAAGCACCGGAATAAAGAAGCCATGTTTAGTCAAGGTTCCCTTGATACTGCCAAATCAACGGCGTACGTGGAAGATTACTTGGACTGCATAGAATCGCTGCCAAACGATTTGCAGCGTAACGTGTCACAAATGCGGGAAGTGGACAGTTTGTATCAATGTAAGTCAGAGAAACAGTGTCAAAAAATTCCAAATTACAGGCCTGTAGATGTTAAAATGCCTTCATTAGGTAGTCTGTTTACTCACATCTTCAATAGTGCAAGGTAGGTGTGGAAATTGGCTGCTTGGTTATGTACAAAATAAACATTTTGACAAGTAAGACCAAAAATAACTTGAAACGCGTAATGGCAGCCTGCGCCTCCATGTTGTGTGATAATTTATGTAGGCCTAGCTCCCCAGAAATTTCGTCACAACTCACTTGTTGTGATTTCGTTCATTTGCAAACATGGCAAATATAATTGCTCTGCAGTATTTAAAGAGGTAGGCCTGCTGTTGCTGACAAACCAAACTGACTTAACTGTTAACTGCTATTTTGAAGTTGGTAGGTATTATACTAGTCTATTATACAGTAGTAATGTCACTGTGTATTTTTACAGCCATTCTTAAAGAGATTCGGCAACACTATGAGACACTGAGCAACAAGGAGCTGGACCCGGCTGCACGCCGTCGATGTCTGCTTCAGATGCAGCGTGCTCTTGTACGCAGCCAGGAACTTGGTGATGAAAAGCTTCACCTGGCATCACAGATAGTGGAGCTGACTGAAAACCGTCTCCGACAGATGGAGACTAATTCTGACAGCTTGATCATCAGGGAACGCCTAGAACAACAACGTGCCCAAGAAGCCAGCAAAGTCAACATCAAGTCTGCATACAGCAAACCTGGTTATACCAAACCTGGTTATAATAAACCAGGGTACACTAAGCAAGGCTACAATAAACCAGGTTATGGCAAACCGGGTTATGGCAAACCAGGCTATGGGAAGGCAGCTTACAACAAGGTCGTCAAGAAAGTTGTGGAGAACAACCAGGAGAAGGCAATGAAGCGTCCTAGGAGACAACGCAGCCACGACAACGGCAAAGAGAAGGAGATGGAAGTGGTCACCAGTGAAATTGTCAAGCCAGCAAAGAAGAAGAAGAGGTCAAAAGTCAACAAGGCAGAGAGAGCAGCTTCTCCCATCGATCCTCCTATCGACCCCAACGAACCTACATATTGTCTCTGTAACCAGGTCTCCTATGGAGAAATGGTTGGATGTGACAATAAGGACTGCCCTTTTGAATGGTTCCACTTTGGTTGTGTGGGACTGACCCTTAAGCCCAAGGGAAAGTGGTACTGTCCAAGATGTCGACCGGCACAAGACGCAAAAAAGAAGTAGCAGCAGCTGTGCTCACACTTCAGCTATTTTTTGTAGTATATGTCAATAGTAATTAATTGTACATATATAATATTCTAATCTGAATTTATTTCACTTTTCAAGACAGTTTCCAAATTAAAATAGAGAAAAAAATTGCAAGAACAAGGAATGACATCATTTCATAACACAGTGAATGTGTTTCAGGCAGAGTTCAAGTACTGGTGCAGTGCATTTGTTGGAGTTTCTCACCATAAGTCGCACAAACAGTGTACATGTGTTCTCAATCATACTGTTTTGCAATAATTTAATGTTTGACATATTTTGGGGTCAACTTTGTTCACATGGGCACATGTAAATTTAAAGGAACCAGGAAATAGAAATATTTTTATAAATTTTACTAAAAACCCTTGAAATTGCATCTTTGGGTTTCATGTAACCTGATTTTAAATTTTTGTTCTGCAATTTTAACACATATTTTGATGCTTTTTGGATTTTTATGCTAATGCAAAGTTGCATATTCATGAGCAGAATTATGATGTCATCCAAGGCACTGAATCTCAATGTTGCACTGGTTTGTGCACAGAAAAATTCTAGATTTTGTTAACCACTGCTATGGCAGATTTCATTTTCTTTGGCAATTTATTGCTGTGTAAGTATATGGCAATAATCCAGCAAAAATCCTTTTCACAGAAATGTTCCCAGATTATAGCAAATTTGGGGTTTACAATTTGAACATGAAAACATTCAACCTGAACCATGTCTTCCTGGATTTACATCAAAGCAAAAGCAGCCTCACTTGTCCAGAAATGCTTGGTTAATTTCTAATATTTCAAAAAGTGCACCGTTCAGTTCACATAATTCAAAAAGGTGTCAAACAGTCTTCATACATGGAAGAAGAGTACAGAGATACGCAAAAAGTGATTCTAAGAAAAATTCATTTCCTGGTTCCTTTAAACCTGTTTGTCATATTGGAAACTGTCAACACTTCATCTGTTTGTTTCTGAACTCTTAATGAGTAATTTAGGGAAGAGTTCCACATACAGACGGCAGTAGATATTCCCTACAGTGACCTACTAGCCGTCAAAAAACCAAACGTGTCCAGAAAAGTTCAATTTAGGAGAGGAAAAAAAGTTGTTTACTTAATTTTGATTTTTAATACTTAATTTTTCAGACCAGTTCCATAGGGTTTGTGCACATGGTGTCAAGTGGCGTCCGTATATGGAACTCTTTCCTCAACTGACTTCATGTAAATTATCCTCATCACTTATTACAACATACATGTACACTGTATGTTCTCCTGTTGTGAAGCTGGATGGCACAGAGGCTGAGCTCCATCTGGATTCTTGGCCTTTCTTTCCAAACTGGGGATTAGCTTTTTCCTGTTAGGGCCTACTGTACATTGGTAATACCGCCCTCATGTGGGGGAAATGAGACAGCCAATTTACTGCTACATGTACAGTCAGTGCAACCTAGTGCCAAAAGCACATATGATGCAAGATATGGGGCGCCTTTGTGTCGGTCATTGTTTGGTCCGAATCTCAGGAATTCTTTACAGACTTCTAGGGGGGATGTATTCGGTAACAATAGTCTGGAGTGTGTATAGGGATTGGACATGTGGGGGGGGGGGTACCCATCAGCCTCATATCGTGTAAAGGTATCCAAAAACAAGGCTGTCAGTGGATTCGCTTTTAGGTTTCTTTTTTATGTATAAGCAGACTTCAGTTACAAAAGTTTGTCGCAAATTCCATCTTTCAGCTTCTTTCTTTCCATCCTTTTTCTCAGTGTCCCCCTCCATTTTTCTTTTTCCACCTGCACCATTTTGATTTTACTCTTTCTGTTTGTGCATCATTTGAAACAGTTTTTGCACCATGACTTAAGTTGGTGTAATTTGGAGTTTGGACCATTTATTTGTCATAAACAGATGACAAGTAATAATTTACAATTGATTTTCCTCCTGTGTTAGCTGTGTATTATTTAATCCGCCTCTGATTTGAATTTTATGTACCCATCTAAATGACATTTGGCAAATGTTTTCAATAATTGTCCGAGAAAAATTCCACAAAATGTATTATCAGTCCCTTTTTAAGACAAAAACCGAGACAAACGTGAATGAACTGTCAGTTGAAAATGTTAGTTGGATTGCTGGTTTTATTGTCTAGAGTAATAAGAGGTTCCGGGAGGGAATTTTTATTATGTCATGAACTCTTTCAAGGTATTGTTACCAGAGCGACTGTGGATTGATACGCACTGACAGTCACTCAGAATAGCTTCTAAAAATAATTTGATGTGAGCGAATAGCACTGCAGTAAAAAGAATTGCCTGCCCAACGTCAGGAGACACTGCAATCAGCGGTGCATGAAGTGAATAAAATGCCTGGTGTCTGGTTAATCTTCTCCCGGTAACAATTCTTTGTGGGAAGCAGGAAATGGAGTTGATGCCTCGTTTAGATGACCAGTGGTCAAATTAATTCACTGATATGTTTCATTGCCTGTGAGGGTAACTTACAAAATGGAGAATACACTGTACATGCGTACTCCACTGATAACAAGGTTTGCAAGGCATTAACTTTGATTAACCCTAACCCTCCTCAATCCTTCACCTGTTGGAGGACTGAGGAAGGTTAGGGTTAAGGAACCGCATTGGTCTGAAGAAATTTATTTTGTGCACTAAAATACTCCTTCAGTTCATTTAACACTGGATCCCTTCTTAACTTTTCTGAGAGCTTAACTTTCTGTTCCAGATGTTTCAGGAAAAATGAAAAGGATCGGCACAGTCAGAAGCTGATAGTTGGATCGAATTCTCTATGCTTTATTTCCAGTTATAGAACTTTGCTGAAAAGCTTTATGAGATATAACGCATTCAAGTGAACTTTCCACCAGTACCGTGTAACTGTTTGCACGTTTATCTCACTATGAGTTGTATACTTAATGAACTACGTCGCTCTTTAATATATGCAGATAGACCATAGATGAAGCTGGAACAAAATTACTTGGATTTTCTTTTACAAATTACGGCATTTTTTTCTTGCAGTTGAATCCAAATCTTATTTATGTGCTTTGTAAGTAGATCAGAGAGGTCCTAAATCCAAAAGAATGGCCTATCATTTTGTAATGGCACACAGGCACGGTGCTGAACTTATTTTGCTGTTGATTTTCATGTCAACTATTTGAAATAAAATTGTACAGCTTAATCTCTGAATATATTGTACAGTGTAGGGAATACTGAAAATAAAAAACGGGAAATATTGAAAATGCTATCTGTTTGTGGCGTAGATAACGAATTATTTAAACTTCTACTTTTCATATAAAAAGGCTACAAAAGTGATTAAGCCCCCACCTACCGAAGCCACTAACGAGCAAATGTAATTCAAACTTTTTTAATTATATATATTTTTTGCCTATGATTCCTCGGTAGCTACTTAGCTGTTGAACATAATTTTCTGTTTTTGAAGATTGTCGTGTTTTAAGAAGTACTGTTGTTTGATGCTCAAGACTTGAATATTTATGAAAAAACAAGCTTCAAATGAAATGGTGTTTCATATTTTAGTATGCTCACCAACAGCGAAATTGCCATCGACTGTACCCTGGATCAGCCACTGAATACTGCCAAAAGAGTAGATACTGTCCTGTTCAAAATCTAACACTGTGATAATGTCCACGACGATGGCTTGTCAATTTTCCCGTAGTCAGCTGCTCGCCATGTGGCAGACCTAGCACTCCCCAGCTAGACATCCGCCTCCCCCCTCGGCCCCGATCCCTCGCCAACCTGCCACTGTCATGCTCAGCCTCCCCCGATATTCCCTCAGTGTCATTAAGCCGGAGGTACCGGCAATTCTTCAAGTCTTGCTTGTCTCCTTTGAGGTGGTACGCCTCCAGGGACTCGCCTACGGATCGCTGGACGGTTGGGACCGAGGTCAGTTGACGCTGCACGCTGGGTGCCCGGTCGTTGGACTGGTGGGTTGGGTGATGAAACGGCTCTTGCCTTGCGTAGTCAAAACTCGAAGCAA